AAAAAGAAGAGAATGTAGGAAAAAATCGATCTTCCTTATCAAAACCAAATCTGCACATACGATTAAAAAATATCTACTTGTTTTCTTACGAACCCGTTTTTGACTTTTTTTTTCACAAAAGTTGAAACAGCAACTCGTTCCACACATCAGGCACGCCCGGCAAGCACCAGTGTGTGCAATCGGAATAGCTCGACGGATTTGCCAATTTCTCGGGCCCCACTGCCTCCCAAAACTTTCGGTAAATCGTCGGGTGGCCATCTTTTCTGTACTCAGACAGCTGAGTAATGTTGAGAACCGAGACTTTCGAACCCAAACGAGTCAATATTTTTTCGAGCATACGCATCGTGGGCAAGTCGGACCCACTTCCCCAGTAATTTTTATCGTTTATTGGCTCTTTTTCGTCGTAACAATTGCCTTCACTTCCCAATTCCCACTCGTCTTTCCTGTTTAGTTGAGAATAAAAAAAAAATTAAAATTCAATCATTGTTAAAAAAATATATATTATAACTAGGCCTGTAAACGAGCCGAGCCGAGCTCAGCTAGTTAAATAAACGAGCCGGAAATCGAGCTCGAGTTCGACTTGTTTATTACTAATAGCGAGAGTTTGAGCCTTAACGAGCCGATCTCGAGCTTTAACGAGCCGAACTATAGAAAATTTTATAAAAATTCTCTTTTCGAGCCTTATCGAGTCGAACCGAGCTGGACTCGTTAACCAAACGAGCTTTACATGAGCTTGAGCCAGATTCGTTTAATTTAAAAGCACTAATCATGATAAATCTCGACTTGACACTTTATTCGAAAAAACATGACTTTTTTCGGAACTGACATACTTTTGATGTGTAGGCGACATGGTAACAAAGAAAACCTTCTTCTTCAAGGGATCAACATGGGTCGCCACCCAATCGGCCCACGACTCCATAGCCAACTCCATGCCTCCAAGCCCACTAATTTCTTGGCAAATTATGTTCTTTTCATTGCTCCACCTAATTAGATACAATTTTAAAACGACTCGAGCTAATCTTTTAAATCAAATGGAAAGGGCTCGTGTTTTATATCTTCGGGATGTACTTACAACAACTTGACTGGGCCCTGTCTCCACCATAAGTATGAATTGAAGACTAAAATGTCGGCTTGCTCCCATTTCGACGAATGCCTTAGAATTGAATTGGGACGAATTATTCTTTCACTCAATCGGTGCTCAACCGCATCATCAGAGTTAGATTCAACAACAAGGGGTGCCCAAAGAAACTCCACAGTCGCATTATAATCCTAAACAAGACACGAACAAAAGAAAAATCATCATTATGCATTTCAACCCAATTCTCAAACATAAGAAAAAAAGGGAACACAAAACTTATCCTCCCTGAAGATCATTGCTGACCCCATACAAATTTTTTGCCATTACAAAGTACGGAACACACACATAATGCTTACCTCTGCTCTAAAAATTGTGAGTTCGGAATTTGGCGTGATCGAGCGCTTATCGGATGGAATCACAGACTGCAACAAACACAACATTGAAATCCACTGCCCTCTGTTCAAAGAATCCCCCACAAACATTAACCTCTTTCCCCTCAATTTCTCCCACATTTCCCTTGCATCCCACCTACACACCCATTAAAATCCTTCAAAAATTCACTCTCAAGTCTCAACCTGTATTTCTTTTTAATATCCATAAAACCGAATAAATTTTAGCACAAAGGGATTAAAATAAAAAACAGAATATACCTCTTCAAATTGCAGCCTTGTGGCTGCCATCTCCAAAACTGGTACCGCAAATCGGGTCTACCATGCTTGCCGCAAGCCAATTGATCAGACATGTAAGGACAATCGGACTCATTATATAACGGATACGAAATGTTATCAAAAACCCATTTCCCCGAAAAAAGGTTGCAGGATTCGACTTCAGTCCGGCCGCCAAACACCGCCTTGTTAACGCCTGAAACACCTCTCCGGCCACCATAGCTCACCGTGGAAGCACACTTGCTGAATTTATCCAAACCAACTACAAAAGCCAACAAGAAAAGGAACAAAATCACAGTAACCAAACCTATTTCCTTTTAAATTCCAAGAATTGATAGCACCCAGCACATATGATGAGTAAATATCACTCAATCCATCGCATTATCAACGTAAAAAACACTAAAGACGAGATTTTTGTGAAACCAGCTCTATGGAAGTGCCCAAAAACAGTGAGAAAAAAAATTCAATAATTTTGAAAAATACAGAAAATGAAAGAAACCTGGTGATTTTTTCGAGAGATTAAGGTTCTGGGCTGGCGCGGATTTGAGCGAAGAACCGCCTTGGAGCGTCGATGGGCGCCGGTCGCCATTATCATCGTCTGTGTGAATCCCTTGAATGTTGGACTCGTTGTAGAGGACTGTGAGGGCTATGAAAACGAAGAACACGAGCGCAATAAGGGGAAAATGGGTTTTCTTCTTCTGCATTGCTTGAGAATTTTGATGGAATTCGACCCGAAAGTGGAAAAATTCAAGATTTGTTTGATTTTTTTGGTCGGCCGACAATGACCCGTAATGTATTGAGCAATAATAAGTAGGATTTGAAGAGTGTGAATAATGAATTTATGCAAGTAAAATAATTAGTCCACAAATCAAGAAAAAGGTCGTGAGGGAAAAAGAAAAAGTCAAAAGGTTAAAGGTTCTCAACTGGAAATCTCACTGAGGGGAGACAAACTCCTATCAAATCACAATAGAGAAGCTCTTGACATAATAAGTAATAAATAAATTTGTTGATCTTCAAGTGATTGCATCTTTTATTGTTTGTCACTCATCAATTTTCCTCTTACTTCTTACTAAAAAATTTGATCTTAGTATGACCAAAATATAATTGCATGACCAAAATAATTGTACAAGTAATATGGCCACGAGATTGGCTTTATGATGTTTTAAGTTTAATTATGAGTTTGAAAAGCATTATAATCTAACTTATAATTTATCTATTAGTTTATAAATTTTTTGTTTGATAGAATGAATTTGTTTAAAAACAAATTGAGCTTACTATATGCTTCTTAATTTGTTTTTCTGAAAAAAACTATTAAAAAATTAATTTTAATTTACTTATCAACTAATTTTATCAAATACATATTATATCCACTAGTTTTCCAGTCACCTACCATTAATTATCACTTTTATTCTATTTTAATTGTCTATTTAGAATGAAAAAAAAGGGAGTGTGAATTTGTATCCTATTAATTATCTTATTCTAAATTATATATATGTTAAGAAATCAAATACAGAGCTCAACTAAAAAGAGCTAAATCAACATTAACTATAAATTAAACCATTCTTAAGTCATTTCTAATACACACAGAATCATATACTGTATACCAACAAAATAAGAAACAAATTAGCTCATTATCGCTCTCCTGTTCAACAGTGGATACAAATTAATAAATCATAAATTAATATGGCAAAAATTAACATTGCATACAAAATGAGTATAGTGTTCAAATATTACGAGATGTTACCACGTATTAATATCCCACTAGGTAGATGAATATTCTCTTACCTTAGCATTTGATTCACTTATTTCAATTGATATTTTCAAAAACCTTGATCAAACTTCCATTGAGAATCCAGTTAGAAAAGCAATGTTCTTTCTCTCTGTATACCACACACATTTCAAATTCTCCTTTCCATGTGCATTAAACAAACAAAACAAAAAAAAACACAATTTCTATTACAAAAATAGAATAATATATATAAAAAAAACGTTCTATTAAAATTTTATAATATAATCATAGAGTATTTGATTCCAAACATCGGGCACGCCCGGAAGACACCAATGCAAGCAATCCGCGAAATGCATCGGATCATTCTTCAACCGTCGTTCAATGTCGACGCCCCAAAACATTCTGTTAGTCGCTGGATGAGCGTCTCCCCTATAAGACGACATTTGGGTTATGTTGATATATTCTACTTTGACCCCTCTTTGCTCCAAGTCCTTTATGGTCGACTCTAATATACGCATCATATCGTAACTCATGAAGCTTCGCCAAAATGTCTCGTCAAAAACCGGCTCTTTAAGGCCGAAGCATCGGTGGTCCGCACCCCAAATCGTTGTCCTACATATTCACGTGTTGATGAACATTCGATCGATTAATTTAACCTAATCACCCAATGCATATGTGTATGGGCATTCAGTTGTTTAAAAGTTGGAGTTGATCTCATAAGTTTTCTTAGATAATTTTTTACAAAAGTGAATTGAAATTTTTATTTCAATTGACTTATTAGCTTTTCAACCATAAGTTATTATCTATAAGCTTGAAATTCATTTATAAGTTCAACTAACTTCAGCTAGATTTACCAAACACAATCTGAACACATGCAGAAAATGTTATTTTCGAAATGCTATGCAACGAGATCTTCTGATTGGGATGCACTATGTAGACGTACCCCTCGTGGTAAGCCGTGGGCCCCACGAAAAACAACTTAGTTTTGGTTCGGTTGACGTTCATTTCGACCCAATTCGACCAAGTGCGAAGCGCGATTTCGTAAGGGAGAAGCTTCTTAGTCACTCTTTTCTCAACTGATTCAGGGCTACCAAATGATCCCCACCTAGACATTATACACAAACAGAGAGAAACAGATGAAGAAGATAACTATTAGTCTCCACATGTTTCAAAATCTAAATCTTTTTGTACATGAAATGTGTGAAAAATGAACAAGAGGATTTAGTAATTTACACACAAGATTTTCATGTATGTTTCAAAATCTAAATCTTTTCTACATGAAATGTGTCAAAAAATGGACAAGAGTTATAATTGCTCACAAGATATTCATGTAGAGGGGGCCGGCCCACCAAACAAATGAGTCGAACACCAATATATCTGCATCGTTCCAATTCCTACTGTGATTTTCGATCGACTTAATCCGAGCCACACGGGGCCACACCGAGTGGCTCTCTGCATTGTCAGCATTGGACTCGACAAGCAATGGGGACCAGTAGAAATCGATCGATGCATTGTGTTCCTTCAATCAAATATGCAAACAAAACAAAATATAATGTCGATAATACATCGAACAAAAAAAGGTCGAACGA